TTACATTTTTCAGCGGAATTGTTAGGGGTGCCAATAATTGTGGGACACAGGATTTGAAGTTTTTATTTTTCTAAATTTTTACATTTTTTTTTACCACCAAAGTAATGTACTTAAATAAAAGGTTGGATTTTTCTCTTTTTTTTGCATTTGGGTACGATGTTTAAAAAAAAAAGGGAGAATTTTTAAAAGTCCTCAACCACATCTTAAACAGGGGTGCCAATAATTGTGGAGGGCACTGTATGGTGAATTACTGCAGCATGACACCTGGATGTGCAGTCAGGCGAAACTAGGATGGTTCACATCACAACACAAACGTCTGTGTGCTCGTCTGATTCAGAGATTTCGTTTGACCAGACGGACTCTGTGTTCGTAGTTCACAGCTAAAGCACAGGCACCAGGAGTCTGGCTCGAGCCAGTCCGGGCTGCCCGTCCGCGACAGGCAGCCGCCTCCGGTTCCTCAATCAGTCTCAGCTGCTCTTCACTATATTGCGGCTCATAAAGACAGCCACGAACATCGGATTCGAGCAGCAGAATTTCAAAATCCTCTTCTTCCATATCATGTTTAGTTTCTTCCATTATTATCATACTTCCTATCTCCGAAGCGCTTTTTAGCTGGAATAATGAAGAGCTAAGTTTGTAGTCTCTACACTTTTCAATGAAATGTGACTTCCTGCTTATGACGCAAAATGACGATTTTTACGTCATAATATGCAGGAAGTAAAACACTTAAATCCTTTTCTCCCATTTTGGGGGAAAATAAGGGAATAAACCATGACCATTCAAAAAATATGACTGGGTTTCTAAAGATACAAAGCTTAATGCAAATGGGTGAAGTGTCCCTTTAAGATAACACAAAAACCACAAGCAACCAAATTTCAACTTTGATTTCATGGAGTCTGGAAATACCCAACACACCCAAAGAGAACAAGCCTTTTGCATCATAATGCCTGTTTCAATAAACCAATGACTGGAACACATATTTCTATTTAATAGCTTAAAGCTATTTACTGTGCATCTACAAGATCCTTGCACAAGTGTGCATTCATATCTGAACATCACCTAAAACCACTGATTCCAGTCCGTGTAACAAATCAGAGGAAATATCATCCATTCTGTAATATAGATCCTACTTATCTGTTTTTCTCAAATGGAGCGGATAATCGCATGTCTAGGGAGACTGCGAACAGCTGAACAATACTGTAGGCCTCAGTATCATCAGTCCACATCACAGCAAAGACACAAATTAAAGCCAACCTCAAAATGCCATTGAAAATGGGCACAAAAGGGATAATAAGAGATGTCAAAACAACAAATCTGCTATAGCCTATTAATCTATAATGTTGAACAGACAAGACTTAATAGCAGCATCTCAAACAACTGCATAATGTAAACATTACATTTTAATTGTTACACTTTATCCAGTAATACATGCACTTGTCTCAGAATTTTGTTTTTTGCCTATAAAGTATGAGAGCATGACGTGTTTTATTCTCTTGAAAAACTTGAAAATTGTAAATTAAGTAATGTAAATTAATAATTGCATGTAATTATTGAAAAGTTATATTGTGGCCCATTAAAAACTTACCAGAAAAAAGACAAAATGCATCTGTGCTGCTTTGAGATTTTGGCTAGTGCTGCACGATCATTATATCCCAATCCCCATGGTTAAGCCTATGCGATTAGCTATATGACGCGATTTTATGGTTATGGTTATATATATAGGGGCAAAATGTCAAACAAATATCTGAAAATTTGTCTCTCCTTTTTTTTTTTTTTTGCATGTACAGTTCAAATTTTGGTGTTTAACTTTGCGTTTTTAAAATATAACCATTCATTTTTCGTTTTGCAATTACGGGTTAAATAAGGGAAAACGAATGGACACAACATTACACTGACCGTTTGGACTATGAGACAGTCCTTTAGTAAATTCATAAAAGAAACAATAATTACAGGAATAGCCTACTGGACTTTAAACCTCAAAGAAATACCACATCAAGACCTCGGAGCAGAAATGAGGGGGAGAAACACCCAAGAACTCCCCTGCCAATGCCATTAACTTTTGGATAACACACCACTTCTCCTTCCATTAATATAGACCTAATAATGTCTAGTGTGGTAGCTCTGATATAGGGTTGCTTAACCTACCAACATCCATTGCCACGACTTTTGGAAAAACTTTTTATGCGAGGAAAAAATAAGTTTTAGTCGCATAACATCAGTTAATGGAAACACTGTCATTTCGCAATAGTTTATCGAAATTTACAAAAAAAAATGTTTTGCACAAAACTGTAATGGAAACACACCTACTCATTCAGCGTGAGACTGACGCAATTGACACTTTTATGCTCTCACGACACACATCCATTTTCTCACGCAGAGAAAAATCGTGAACCAAAGAGGACACTGCCACCAACAGACAAGACTATTGATATGAAACTAATTCTTAGCTCATTACGAAATTGACACTAAAAGTTAACAGAATTCTGTTTAGTTACCAAATGTTTTGACAATCACAATATACACTTACACCAAAAATGATCCACAGACTGAGTTTAGACAAAGCATGTTACATCCTGCCTAGTTCCTGTTTGTCTGGACTGAATGTTCAAATAACATTTTTATGAGCATATAAATATTCTTATTGTTCTATTTATTGTATAATATTGAGACAATAACACATTTGCTGTAATGCAAAGATGTCATTATTTAATTTAGTAAAAATATATAATTTTAAATTGAAAACACTGTGCATTTAGTTGCTAGTTTGAGTTGAGAAATACACATTTCAGCATTATCCCTCATTTGTATGCATTTTCCTTGAGAACCAAGCAAGTTGACTCGTGAAACCTTTTGTTTAATATATCGCAGTTGCATATCACAAATCACAATATTGACCTCAATAATCACAAAATTACATTTTTCCCAAATCATGCAGGCTATTGTGGTGGAAAATTTAAACACACACACACACACACACACACACATACATATATATATATACACAGTAGCTAACGCCAATTATATTTAGACAGGCTAGCGTATAAGTTATACTAGAATAGCTAGTGTTAGGGAGACAAATCTAAAACAGTTAGGTCTGAGGATAGAAAATCCAGAACACCATCAAGTTGAAACAGGCCTGAGGAACAGAAGATATTGCAAATACTTGGAAAGATATGTTTAGCTTTAGCAGGAAAAAAGCCCATCTGAACACATGACCTCCCCCTAGTGTAGCATAGGTCTTATGTCTGATCATATATAGCTACATACATCTACTTCGAGTCAACATGTTTTGGTAGTTGCAAATAGTTAAATGATACAGACAGCCAATGCATCAAGTAAGAGAATGGCCAAAGAAATGATTCATCCTCACTAATCTATATCCTAAAGCATATGTCTTTCCTTAAATTGTGATGGCAAGACAAGAACCACAAGGGATAATATTGGCTTTGAGAAACTGCCAGTGTTATTTGGGCTTTGAAAATAGTTTATATGAATCACATGGATATGAATGCATGTAGATTTCTCAAAAAGGAATTCAGAACAAGACATGAATAATATGGATTATATTTCTTAATGTGTCAACACTGGGCGTGTCTCTTGGTTTTTGCTTCCACGAGGACTGTGTTGCAATAGGGTTAGGTTTGGGGTTTAGGGTTAGAGTTGTCATTACAGAAAAATAACAAACAACTGAAACGAACAATTTGTGGTTGTTACTCGGACAGATTACTTTAAGGACAAGGAAGTGGCCGTATGAGACAAGTCCAAACCCTGATGGGTCTCCATTTACAACTTTATGATAAGAATTTTGCCACAACTACTCACACACAGACAACATTAAAATGCCAAGGTGACACTAAATGGATCTCAAACACATACTTTCCCTTCAGGGGAATATTTCTGTTAGAATTAGGCTATTGTACATTCCTACTAATCTGCATGGTCACCAAACCAAAGTCAAGGGATTGATTTCTAGGGAACACAAAAAATTATACCCTAAATGCCAAATGCAAATGTCAGGCATTAACCCTATAAAGCTTACAGTGTAACACTCATTTAGTCTTCTAAGTTATCAACATGATCAAAACCATAGGCTGTACACAATCTTCTAAATGCCTTCAGTTATCTATTTAACAAGTAAAAATGTCCACCATCAGGTTGCAGTACATCACGTGTCTTTTTTCTGCAAAATTTTTGACTTAAAGTAAAGAGTCATTTTTATTCAAAGATGAACATTTACCGCACTGAAGCAACTTTGACCATAAAACATGCATTTGAATCTTAGAACAAATTAACAACTTAAAATCGTTGTTTAGCCTACTGTTATAATATAATTGATTTACTGTACATTACAAGATATCAGAATATATAGGCTAAAAAATATGATGGATCAATATGATGCAAACATAGGCTATACCCATGTAAACTTTTTTTTTAGTTCTTAATTGTATATGTTGTGTAAAATATTAAACTAAAAAAGGTTTCTGACTATCCATGTCTAAATGGTTATACCAGCAGCTAAACTGGTCAGTTGCACACAGAGATACTCACAAAAATGAGTTTCTTCAGTCAAATATCAAAATGTTCCACTGACTTTACTCAGTGGTAGGAGCATGGACACTACTAAACCTTCACTGACGTGGATTCAGAGTTAGTCTTGTTAAGAGAATCTTGAACGAATCATTCTCGTTCACCTCCAACTGGACTCGTTCGTGTGTATTCATTCAAACGAGTCAGTGGGATGAATCAAAAGCCCACTGGTAGATGAATTAACGATGGCGCTAGACTCGCACAGGTGTTAAGGTGAAACACGAACAGTTAAACAAAATAGACCTACCTGAAAACAACAACACACAATTAACCGTATTACAACTTTAAATTCAAGCGGCGCTGTCATTTTACTTTGATACGTTTAATATTTCGAATGATAAAGTTTGCAACATCTTCATTCAGTCAAGAGATTTAAAAATAAGATAAACAAAAAAATATGAACATGCACTTACATGTTCATACGCGGCGGAATTCATGTTACTTCAGCAGACAGACACCAAACAGAAACTCAGATCAGTCTATCCAGGCGTTTTTCATTGCGTCTTGGGAGAAATATTCCAATTGTAAAAGTTGTTTGGACCGTTCTGAGTTTAATCCAGTGAGTCCCGCGGCGTCCTCTCTCTCATCTCTCTCACACCTGAGGGCTCGTGATGACGTTGTGGTTTCGCTGACAAAACTACTTCCGTCACTAAACTCACAGGCGTTTACCAATGTACTTCTTCTTCTATTGTTTAAAATGGCAGTTGGCAAATCAACTTTAAGGTGCATTTCCGTCAGAACTCAATGTCACAAGACTAGCGGTGCTTCTTTTTATGTTGGTTTCAAACAACTTGTTCAGAATTGTTAAGAAATTTTGATTTTGCGGTTAGATAATCAAGTGAACACGCTAGTATTCCAACGACGAGAGGTGTTATTGAATGTAGACTCCAGCTACCTGAAAGATGACAATAGGCCTAGGCTATGCATGTAAATATCTGGCCGGGGCAAGTTGTCACATTTTAAAATGTTAATGTAATACCAATGTAATATTAATGTAAGGTTCCACTTTTTGTTTTTTGTTTTCTTTAGACATTCTACTAACTCTAGGTAACTTTGCAACTACATAATGTCAACTAGCTTAACTCTCATTAGAGTATTAGTAGGCTGTAGCTGTCAGTAGACTGGTAGGTTATGGTATAGGGTTCAGGTTTGTAGAATAAATTGACTTGTAGTTGCAAAGTTATAGTCAGTAAAATATCTGTTGGGGGACCAACAAAATAAAGTGTTATCGGATATTAAGCAGCTAGTGTACTAATACTCTAATGACACTTAGTTGACATGTAGCTGCAAAGTTAGGCTTAGTAGAATGTCTAAAGTGGACTATCAAAATAAAGTGTTAGCCTACTACGTTGATGTCGATAATTGTTGTTACTTTTTATTTTTATTTTGCTGTTGCTTAATAAAGTGTTGTGTGTTTCTTAATTGTTTTTGAAAGCCCTGGTAAAGGCTCCAAAGAGACAGCATGCCCCATTATTGTCAAAATCCCTTTTCCCTGGGAAATAATAGTCACCTATTCATCAAAATCGTATTAATCATTGCCATCTTATTAAACATATAAACCTCATTAGCTCCCTAGAACATTACATCCTATCCATTCATACGTGTGTGTTAGAGCGCGCGTGCATGGTTTAATCATTTATCTGGACCTCCCTCTAGCGACTCAAGTCTGAAACTACACCATAAGCAGGTAGATGTGAAAGTAACGTAGTGAGGAACAAAAGCGGCTGTAAAAAGCATTGAAATAATGACATGTAGACACCAAGATGCATTTTGCTGGGTGAAAAGTGTAAACTAGTGTGCCTACGTATTTCTCCCACAGTTCGTGTCTTTTCTCACAGGCGTCCTCTGTGCATTTCCATGAATGTCCAGCAGGTGGCGCTGTTCTTCAGCAAATGGACGCCCACCCTCTGCGCAGCCCGAGCGGAGGAGGGTTTGGTTTTTACAAGGGGGAGCCGCAGCCGACTGTCATTCACACCGAGATCTGCGGACACAGGAGATATCTCAGCCTAACGCCGACCAGACCAGCTCGTATCCCGCAGCAGACCTGCTCAATCCTCTTGCTTTTTTTTTCTTTTGTAAATAATACAGTAGCTAAAACAGGCATTCAGAGAAATCAGCAAAGTTAAATAAAGAAGAGAAGGAAGAAGAATGGGGCAGAAAACGCCATTAATATTGATGACTTTATTGTCTTATTGCGTCTGGAGAGATGAGGTAGGATCCGAATGCGGATTTACACATTTATTTGTTCTAATTGTCATGCACTTGATTCAGGTTAACCTTGAGAATACATCATTTTTTGCAAGCTTTCATTTAATTATTATTATTAAGCCAAATTTAATATATAAAACAGTGAGCGTACTAAATAACACAATTCTGGGGTCAGATCTGATATTTATGAAGGTTTGACTGCGTATGTTTGTTCGTGTTTGTGTGTGTGTGTGTGTGTGAGAGAGAGAGAGAGAGAGAGAGAGAGAGAGAGAGAGAGAGAGAGAGAGAGAGAGAGAGAGAGAGAGAGAGAGACTGAGACTGAGTGAGTGAGAGCGAGAGAGTGAGAGCGAGAGAGTGAGTGAGAACCAATTGGTACCTTGGCCTGATAAAGGGAAAGATAAATTAGCTGATCATTTTTTTTATTTCTTAGGGTGGGGCATGTTTTTTTTTTCATTACAGAATGGATGTTTAGTATTAAGATTGGCATCTTTGAGTAATCTATTATATTTAGTATTGATTACTTGCACTGAAGAGGAAATTGCTGTCTTGTTGCAGATGCTTACTATTTGTATGGGAACAATTCACTGCATCAGTAAAATAAGACATTTAAAGTGGTCTTTCTGATCAAATCGTTTGGGAAGCTGACATTAAGCAACACGGACTGTTATAGCAGAGCAGACACAATCTCCTCAACCCTGATCGTTGAATGATGTCTGGGAGTCTTTGATTCAGTGCTGTTAGATATGCTGCATCCTCTGCGGCCTGCAGTGCTGACGAAGCCTGTTGTACCTTCAGACCCAAGATGGAAAAAATATATATATATTATGTAAAAATTATCTATTTTTATGCCGGACATCCCATTTTATCCCGGAAATATTATTGGATGATGAAGTGTTTTAGTGATGGGTTGAAAATCCTTCTTGGCAAAAAGTCAGAATAATGGGGCAGATTTATTTATTATGTAAAGACTTTATGTAATATGATGCTAGATTTGGCCACATGCAGTTCGAGTGATCGGGATTGTGTCTGTTTGCGATGCATGGATGTAAACGTTGTAAATCCCTGTAACCTCTTGTGAACAAATCAGTGTAAGATCAGGAGAACACATATCTGTAATTTTACTGCATCCGAGGGGATTTTTAGTGGCACCATTTTTAAAGCGGGAAAATGTTTTAGCAGGTGATATAGGTATTTAAAATAAATATCGGTAATTAAAATATTCCTAGGATGAACAAAATTTAGCATTTGTCTTCACTAAATAAGAAACAAACAGTTACACGTTTACAAAGAAGTTGTATATGAGTATTCTTTATAACACAACACAACAGTAATCATTAGAGGTCAACCGATTTAACCGATAAATCGGCACCGATAAAGGATTGCTGGAACATTCGTTTATCTGCAAAAATCCATAAAATAGTTTTTCCGGGGTTGCATCGGTTGCTGGAGCGGCTGAGAAGGGTCCGCTGTCATTATAAAGTACAAGAGCGACCTCTAGAGGCGGAAAAAAAACTAACACGCCTCGTGGAGTTTGTTTTGACGGAGCTGGGCACTTCAGAAACTGATTTATATAGATGCAATATACATATGTAACTATTTGCAATGGCCTTTTTATATAGATATTTTAAAGATGGCCAACTTTAAGCATGACTGTTTAAATTTATATGAAATAGTAACACTACAATAAGAGTCCATTTGTAACATTTACTAAGGTTAATAAAAGTATTGCTCATTGTTAATTTCAACATTTATGAATACATTTTTACATTTTAAAGCACTGTTTTCTTTGATAAATCGGTCTTCAGCCAACATGGTCCTATCTATCTATCTATCTATCTATCTATCTATCTATCTATCTATCTATCTATCTATCTATCTATCTATCTATCTATCTATCTATCTATCTATCTATCTATCTATCTATCTATCTATCTATCTATCTATCTATCTATCTATCTATCTATCTATCTATCTATCTATCTATCTATCTATCTATCTATCTATCTATCTATCTATCTATCTATCTATCTATCTATCTATCTATCTATCTATCTATCTATCTATCTATCTATCTATCTATCTATCTATCTATCTATCTATCTATCTATCTATCTATCTATCTATCTATCTATCACAAAGCATAATCAATGACCGATAATCAATCCGCTCTGAACTGACTCTGTTGTTACAGTAATATGAATCCCCTTTATGAAGTCACATCCTGTCTCTCAGGATGCAATCAGTTTGATGGAAGTCAGTGATATTAAATCTTAACCTAGCTAATAATCCTAAATTATGTCTTTAGAAACAAAATTTCTCTAGACATTGTGTTAGTACTCATCTCCGTAACCATGCCACGTTTAAAGCTAGTCTTGCATCTGTTTATCGATTAGTTTGGTGTATATCTAGCCTAGAAAACCTGTATTCTGGGTCATAAATGAAAGCACATTGGTCTAACAGTAAACGCCATCACCAGCTCAAAAGAAGCAGAGGGTGAGGGAGGGAGAACGGGCTGATTCTTCTGTCCCTCTCCTGCTGTCTGAATGCGTCAGCACTCACCCCGTGCTGCCGGTACACAGATGCTGCCGCCGAGCCTCATGGGAAAGGAGTAGCAGAGACTTTAGGGTGTGTCTAGGAAACCCACTGTCACCTTCATCGTGCAGTGACCCAGTGTGTCCGTACAATGATTATAGAGCGGGCTAAAATGGGTTCGTGGCAATGGGAGTCTATGAGGGGATACCCCTTTCTTTGTTCATGTGTATTACAGCAGTGCCTTTAGAAATGTCGGCGCACTTATAATAAAATATTAAAGAGAAAGAAAATATGATGACGTACATTTGTAGACTGCGGAGTGAAGGTTTTTTTGTGGTCAAATTCAGTTCCATTCAAAGTTTACACAGCACGACACTCTGAAACAACTGTTTTCAACATGGATCATGGTGATAACCGTTTCTTCATATTAGAGTCATTTCTGAAGGATCATGTGACACAGACTGGAGTAATGATGCGGATAGCTCAGCTTTGACATCATGAAAAAAATTGTAAATTATATTATTTTTTTTAGATTTTGTGATTTTTTTTTAGATTTTTTAAAATCATTGTGCTTTACATGAAGATGAAAAAACATTATTACCCATTTTTAAGGCTAATTTTAGTACTAAAGCAACAGCTCCGGGACCCGCCCACAAAGTTACTTGCGCTTTTCTCTTCGACACTTGCGTTTCAGATCGTTAAAATAGGGCCCGTTGAGTCTAATTCATTATATAATGGGTTACACAAATTTCAGTGCAAATGATTTGTGGAACCATTGTTCGGTCCAAGAGAATGTTTTTACATTTTAATTTGGCTTAGTGCCAAAAAAAAAAGTATGATATTACGTTCACTTGGATAGCATTAGCAACAGTCCTGTAAGTATTCTTCTTTGATTAACCATGTATCCATTCACAAATAGATTACGAATGTAGCTCCATTGAAATACACCTGTATGACGGATGAAAGAGGGATAAGTGTGAGAGTCTTTAAGGTCACCTTGTCATGTGAAACAGTGAGCATAATTCCATTTAGCAGTAATCTGGATGAGGTGCAAATCCCATCTTTTGTTATTCGGAAGTGGGAGAATGCAAAAAAAAAAAGTTGACAGCCATATCCTAAGAGGATTAGATACTTCTTTATGCATTAACCACCAGTGAAGATTGCTTAAATTTATTAGCTATAAACCCATCTTTCATTGTTCAATTATGCTGGGCGGGTAAGAGCATTACTGGGATTACCGTTGCTGCCAGTAACTCTGTTGTGTTGTACAGTCAGTCTTGGGCTTCATTGGTTGTGCCGTCACGATTGAGCATGTTAGATTTCCCCCTGTTTGACTCACAATAAAACCACTTCTTAAATTTTCACCCTGAATGTGTGGTTCCCCCCCCAATAAAACACTGTTTTCTTCACCGCACCTTACTATGTACCTCACGTAATCTTCTCTGGGAGTTGTTTCCCCTCATGAAAGCAATGTTTGTGAAGAGGTTGTTTGTTGATGCTTTAAACCAGGATTATTCTCATGCTTTTTTGAGGGTTTTTGAGTGCTGTTTATGCACGGAGGAAACAGCTGAACTGTGGCGTGTGGTGTAGCTTGTTGGGAGTGTGAGATTCCTTTGAGAACATTTTGATATTGGATTTCTATGGCAGATGAGAGACTCCACATTAACCTGGAACCTGAGACCTGATGAAGCTGAACTGCGAAGCCCCTCGGGGACCGGAGCATGAAATGCTTCCAAAAGTTCAAAATTATACACCACATCTGGACTGAGTTTTTTAGCAACAATGTACATCGCATTTTGATGATTGTACGCTTCCCGGAAGATTCATTTATCACAATGGCATTTACAGTTTGTTTTTAGTTGTTTTTGTTGGTTATTATATATATATATATATATATATATATGAAGAGTTCAGATGCAAAAGCCTCTAAGTGCCATTTGAAATTTTCTTCTAGAATGATAATTTTTGTCAAGCTTGTATATTTAAGTTCAGTGATTTCACTTAAATGCCAATGATAATTACCTATCAATTGTTATTTAAGTGAAATTACTGAACTTAAATATACAAGTTTGATAAAAATCATCATTAAAGAAGAAAATTTCAAATGCCATTTAGAGGCTTTTGCATCTGAACTCTTCATATATATATATATATATATATATATATTAGAAGTATACAAATATATCGTTTTTATACATTTAATGAAAAGCCAATTTTCCAATAAATTGTTAAATTATAGTAACTCAGTTTCATATATAATTTAATTAATTTTAGGATGATTTTTATAATATAATTTATAACATTAATATTTAAAAAATACATAGAAAATATTTTATAATAATTAAAATAACTTTAATTCTAAAAACATATTAAAATACACTCTAAAAATGCGGGATTGTTTTAACCCAACTGTGAGTCAAATATGGACAAACCCAAACATTGGGTTAAAAATAGAATTAAAAAATGTAACC